AGTTTGACGACAGATCATTTCCATTCAATCATCCGGAATAGGATAAGACATCAGAGAGAGGATGGATTCAGAGATGACATGGTTTGCTGTGCTTTTTGGTTTGAAGAGTAAATAAACAAGGTCCTTGAATATACTTAAGGGCTATTGAGAGCTGTATAAGTATCAGGGTGAGATAAGTGATGTCCTTGAAATGTCAAAAAACAGCACAAATGGTTGTTTCACTGACAATCAAAGTTGTTATTTATGGTAGGAGAAACCCTGTTATCAAATATGTTTAAACATGTTATTTCAAGTATTTCTGTGATTGTAATGGTCAAACATCTTGACTTATTCTGACATTTGCATGACTAATTGTGGCAAAAAATATTTTTTAAAACATGTATGTGTTTCTCCTATAGAAACAAATTATTGATCATTAATGAGCAACAGCATCATCTTATAATGCCTACAGCGTGTAGTGTGTCAGAGCTAAAAGACTCCATATCGCTGGGCCACAAGACTGGACAGCAGAGATGTTTGAATTTGAACACATATTACATATCATAGAGTATCTAAGAGACAGCATGCATTTTTACTGACATATTTTCTTTGAGTTCGCCCACTGTGATAAAAAAGAAAAACATGCATGTTTTGACACATTTGGTACATCTTAAACATGTCAGGCACACATATGGCAATAGCCTTCATCAGTGTTGCAGTGTTTTATGACATAAGACCTGCGTCTGGTCAATTGTACGTCACCAATTGATGGTGTACGATTTCCATAATTGGACAGCTCTGTAAGGCCAGCTGCATACTCCAAACTAAATTGAATCTGGCATGTTTTCACAAACAAAATTACATGTTGGTGAATGAAAATGGCACCACATTTGGCATATTACCATGCCCAGGCTGACAAAAGAAGAAAACTCGAAAAATGCTCAATGCTTTGTTCACTAATTATTGATACATTGTCTCCTAAGACTAGTCAAGAGCCTCATACTCTTAAGTGTATCTCTTGGCTTGAACATTACTTTACTTTAAGCTCTTCCAATTGTACAAGATTATTAAATATCTAGACCTAAGTATATCAATATTTATGTTGACATCTAACAGCGCCCTAGTTGCTAGAAATCGGAATCTTCCTGACAATTTAAGATCAACCTGCAGTATCCCAAATAAATGGCTATGAATCAGAATAGTGGATAGCAGTGTTTCACACAAGTAAGATATCAACCTGTAACTTTAAATTAGAGATGCTTGACATTTTATTGCTTGAGCGCTTTTTTAACTGTGAATACAAACATAAAGGTGAAATACTGCTGATAAGAGCATAAACCCATATGTATGTATGTGAATTCTATGTATGCATGAAGTACTGTACACATACACTGCACTTACAGTATAATAAGGATAGCAATTAAAACCACATACGCATACACACACACACACACACACACACACACACGGAATCAGTGTGACCTATTCCAGTTCTTTCTATACTTGTGAACTTATGCATCTTAACTCTAGAGATGTAGACTTCAAATATCCATTCTCCACATCAATCCCCTTCAATTTCCAAGATAACTGATCTTAGATAAGTGGAAACTTCTTTGATGGCATGCTGCCTACTTTATTCTAATCTATGAAAATATTTCACAAGGGGATAAAGAAATAGAGATATGCTGTATTGTGAAAGATACCAGATAGTTCGAATGAGAAATGTTGAGTTATCTTTGAAATTATAAGGCAGATAAAAAGATTGTTGTTTGACTCGATTGTCTGTTGAAAATCTATGTAAAAAGTTATTTGAATGTCAAAAACGAACCATTTGAAGTTGCATCAGAGCTGGATGAGTATATATTTTTTATTTCTCTGCAAGGTTGAAACTACTGAAATATAAAATATCTTGGATGTTTTGCCGTTTAGCTCACTCTAATAAACTGCTCAGGGCATATACTTGGGTTTTTGCAGAAAATAATACACAGCCAGAAAGGAAGGGAAGGCTGCAAGCAGGAGGGGAAAACATACAATGGTGGTGCAAATTGTACCGCAACCTCTGAAATATTCTATGTATAAAATGATGTATAAGCCAGTAAATATACTCTGATACGTTAGCTGTAGAGAGAGTGTGTGAGTCATAGAACCTGTTTTGACTTGTCTTCAACTTAGATGCAGTTCAACCTCAGTGAAACTACCCATGGCCACATTTACTCTGATTGAAACAAGCATTTATGTCCTTGTTTATTGTTTTTAAAATGTTTCTTGAACTTTAACTAAAATGTACAGTTGCATTTGAACGTGATCAATATGCCATAGTAGCTGTTTCTATAGACACAGGAACATTATGAGAGAGCTTCATTCTCATAATGTCTATAAACAATGAAAATGCTGACTCTCGTAATGACTAAAACACTTATTTATGTTACAAAAACAACATTTAGCTGACTGTGTAAAACTGAGAATAATATAAAGTTTGACTTTAAAGTTAAATATCAGATAAAGGATGATCTTAAGAGAAGCTTTTATATTTGTTCTTTAAGATTTGAAGTGATTTTGTGTTTGATGCTTTTCTGTTAACTATATAAGTATAAATACAATCTCCTTATCCTCCACGTACAGCCAATGTGTGTTTTGTTGAACTAGGATGAAGTTAGATAGGATCCCAAAGTTTGCACATGCAATGCATACAACTATTAAAAAAAGGGGGGGATTTAAAGCAATAACAGAATATACCGTTGGGAGAAATTGCTCACCTCCACTGCCAAAAGATGTTTGGAGAACTGTTATGGCTTTAACTGATTGTCTGACTAGTCTTTATGACTGCTTTTTGAATGGCTGCCAGAAGTCCCAAATGTATGGGATTTTCAACAAAGAAAGGTCAATAAAATAAAGTTGTAACCATCTGCTCACCTGAAAAGCCAGCCAGTAGAAACTAAAGAGATAAATGAGCATCTGGGGTCGATGTTTTTTCTTGTTGTATAGTGACAACTATATTACATTACATGTTATTTGTTAGACGCTTTTATCCAAAGCAACTTATATACTCAATACTGTGGACAATCCCCACAGGAACAATTTGGGGTGAAGTGTCTTGCCCAGGGACACAACGACATGCTGATTGCAGTGGGGTTTGAACCCCCTGATCCCAACACCAACGCTCTATCCACTGTGCCACACGCCTTCTTGTAACTATACACATGTATACTATCCAATCAATTCATATCTTGATGTTTCAATGTACAGAGAATCAGTGCATATCTGCAGTTTATCTTTCAGGCTTTATAGATCATGTTGGTTTCAGTATCTGAAATATTTAGTTGTATGTGACCTCTGTTCCAACTACGGGGTGAAAAATCTCTACTACTCTACCAAAAAAACATGCCACATCACTCCGATTCTTTCTGCCCTGCACTGGCTCCCTGTCCATCTCAGAACCCAATTCAAAGTATTGGTCTTCACCTATAGAGCTGTCCATGGCCAAGCCCCAGCCTACATCAATGACCTGATCCACCCTCACATCATAAACCGGGCCCTGAGGTCCTCTGAACAAGGCCTCCTAATGGTGCCCCGAACCAGGCTAAAGACTAAGGGGGACCGTGCCTTTGAGGTGGTGGCCCCAAGGTTTTGGAACAAACTCCCCCAGATAATAAAAACCTCTGCCTCAATAGAGATTTTTAAGGGGCAGTTAAAGACCCACCTTTTCCGACAGGCCTTTGGGTCGTCGGAGGAGGTGAGTTAGTAGCTGTCTTTTTTATTGGTGTTTTATCGTATGTTTTATCCTATGTATTACCTGCTGCTGTTTATGCCTTTTTATTCTACATGTTATAGTTGTACTTTGAATTGTGTCCTGTGTACTGTACTGTAAAGCACTTTGTACATCCGTGTTGAGAAGGGTGCTATATAAATAAAGTTTTACTTACTTACTTACTGTCTACAATCTGTTCCTGTGACAACCCAGCAGGTTTATAAACATCACAGCCTATGCTACACTACATATTTGTAAGAAAGCAAAATGTGTAATCTAATAGATGAACGACTAGATTACATTTTCAAAGTTTTTATTTTGCATCTACATGTATATATCTAGCAACAATATTAAAGCTGAATAATAAGATTAGTCTAATATTGCTTCAGCCAGCACTGAGGTCTCCCTTCTATGGCAAGTGTGAATGTCCTACTAAGATACTTTGTTATAGTATTTGAGACAACAGCAGGGAGGTTTGACAATTGATGATCTGTAAGTTATATAAATATTTTTGATGATATCAGCTTCGATAAAGGTTTTGAGTGTACTGGATGTATATGGTTTTACTCCCTCTTTGATTAACATCCATCCAAATATCCTGTATCAATTCCACCATCTATGCTCTGCTGAGCTGCCTCGGTGCAAACCTGTCTGGCCTCCGTACTTTCACAGCCCTGCTAATTTGTCTCTAACAGAAGCAGAGCACAGAGGACCGCAGCACTGCTCTTATCAGACATACACACACCGCCACAGCGAGACAGCATACACACATGGAGAGATTTACATCCACATGGGAATAAGTACACTCAACCGCTTATTACTAACATCGGGGAGGCAACTGCATACATTATAAACCCATTTACTTTCACACATACTGTACACATGCATATGAAGGATGTTTAACAAACTCATGCCTAAGTACTTAGGCATGAGGCACTATGTAAGGGGAAAACAACCATAATACAAAACACATACATGACTATATTCCAAAAGTAAATCAGGAACTGGCACGTCAAAACTAATGTTTCTAGTTTGTTAGTGTTCGGAAAGTATATTATGTCTGTATTTTAACTGTATACATCACAACATTAGGACATACCCTATACTTATCTTACTTCCCAAAGGGAACCATTAACATTTGATTAATTTACATTGGCAATAAATGTTTCAGAGCACAATTCTGAACAGAGTTAATGTTGCATCGCTCCATTGGAACATACAATGCATACAGGGCAATAAGCAGAGTAAAAACGGTTAGTGAGTCCTTGCTTACCTCTATGTGGTCTGCTGTGATTTATTAGGACTCAACATGAAGATACATGGTTGTGACTGGTAGATGCACTGAAAAGATGGCCCGGGGATATAGATCCAAAGACCTGAGGAAAGAGCACAGAAAAACAAGACATGGGTTTGTGCGTGATTGTTTATAGGAAAGTCTAAAAGCCACACTTGCGGCTCTGTGAGGGACTTAAGAGGATCAGTGCTTTGAGCTAAATGCTGACATTAGCTTGCCAAAATACTCATGATGACAATCTTAATATGGTAATATTTAGCAGATATAATGTTGACCTTGTTTGCCTTCTTAGTTAAGCATATTGGCAAGATAACACTTGTCATTCTAAACCTGATGATAATGTTGGATAATAATCTAGGGGATTACTAAGTGAATGTGTGTACACTATATTTGCAATCAATCCAATAGTTATACAAATATTTCAGTAAGGACTAAAGTCATAAACCATGTGACATTCGGGCCGATTTGTTCACACGTAAAAATAAGCTGTCCAACTAATGTCCAAACCTTCCTGCCACCAAAGTTTAAGGCTGACACTTCTTCTTCCTCCATTTATACAAAACACAGAAGTAGCTTGGCTCACTTATCTGCACAAATATCGGAACACCCCAGCTTGATGCTCATCGTCCAAACTCCTATAAGATGGGGTTGCTTGGCTTTCAACCCTATTCCCTGCCACACAATGTCTCAACTCGATGGTATATCTATTTGTATTTATATTGCAATAAATCTATACTACAAGCTGTCTAAAATAAGACGTCAAGACCCCAGTTAGAATCATGACAACGGGAAACCTAGAAGTCAGAGCACAATATCAATGTTCAATGACTGAACTGAAGAATGTGGGCACTGATGCAAAAGTTATGTCATCCCAATAAGAATCAAAGTACTATCAAATTGAAACTTACAGTTTGTTTCAATAAAGGGCAGTACATGGCTAAACACACACACACGTACACACACACACACACACACGTACACACACACACACACACACACACACACACACCACACACACACACACGTACGTACATACACACAGACACACACACACACACACACACGTACGTACATACACACAGACACACACACACACACACACACACACACACACACACACACACACACACACACACACAACACACATATGTACACACACACACACACACACACGTACACACACACACACACACACACACACACACACAGACACACACACACACGTACATACATACACACAGACACACACACACACACACACACACCACACACACACCACACACACACACCACACACCACACACACACACACACACACACACACATCGAACAGGTTGCAGACACGTTGGCAGTCAGTATTTCAGCTGAGCTACAACACGCCGCTGCAGGTTATTAGAAATCCATTACTCCCATCAGAGCCCTAAAGTCGTTTCATCACTAAGACATGAAACAGCAATGTGACACAATAGTATGGTAGCTGCCATAAGAAAGCACATCTCCTTTCAACTTTGACAATCGTAAGGATGATATTACATGTTCTTTCTCACTAACATCATCCTTACAACATGTCTCAGGAGCAGTGGCCCGAGCAGCAGTATGGACAATCTTTGTTACATGCTTGTTCAGGTTGCCAGGTAAAATTGTTGTAATTCACACACACACACACACACACACACACACACACACACACACACACACACACACACACACGCACCACGCACATGCACACGCACACACACACACACACACACACACACACCACACGCACACGCACACGCACACGCCCACGCACACGCACACACTTCAGCTCCACACTTTATTCTGCCTCCAAAACAATTATCCACAAGGGGATACTCTGTGGTATGATATGCTGATGCTGCAGCCATGTTTAAGTCCTTTGTGGCAGGTGCTGCTAGCTTCAATGAGATACTTTATGATAGCAAACCTCAGAAGAGTGTCTTTTATAAACCACCAGGGCTCCATCTTAAAATACTATATTGCCAATTGTTATCTATTAAGCCGTGTAGGTCTTGAGGGAGGTAAAGTAATTTGTAATGATACTAATTTGTTACCTTGTATTCAGAATTTTTAACCTGGAATTACTTAATTAATCTCCTTAACTTAATTAACTGTGGGAACATTGTGTGCCCAGTGAATTGCAAAATTATGCTCATGTTCAATTATTTGATTTGTTCTCCTCCTTTCTCTTTTGATCAGGAGCACATCTTCCCTCCTTAAACCAAACCTGTGTTCATTTGAGGTGCTTTTTTCATTTTGTTTTAATGTGAATAGATGTCTTACCTTTTAAAATATGAATACATTGTTCACACAGTGTTTTGTTTACTACCCAAAGTCCAACATAAACACACATACTGTAGATCAGCCGGATATCAGAATGCTGTATGAAATCCATACAGTTAATTTAGACTGTATATTTTATGAAAATGCAATATCTATTTTGCAAAAACAATCCTAAACAAGCCAGACAAAAGTAAACGATGACAAAACAATACTGAATGCAGCATTACAACGGAATTATGAAGGTCTCCCTTGAAAAAGAGTTCGTTGATCTCAATGGGATTTTCACCTGGTTAAATAAAGGCTACAAACAAACAAACAAGACTGTATTACATTTTTAAAGTTTTCGTCGACTTTGCTAAAGCAAAATTCCATTTAAATTCAACTTCTCAAAAATCACTTTTGCTTAGTTTTATTTGAATCCTTTCATTAACCACCTTTAGGTCTTGCCCTGTCATTTTAAAACAATGCCTTATCGCTAGCATCACACTGCTCGTCTGTATTGTATGATCTTGAAAGTCGTTGGTATTCTCCTCAGTTTGCCTCTATATTTAGCATCTGTTCTCTCCACTCAGCTATTTAAGATTGTGGTGAAATGACCTGTCAGTGAGCCCGGTGTGTGCGTATATATGTGCATGTGCATGAATACCAAATAAAAGAGGGACAAAGGGAATGTGTCTGTTTAAGTACAAAGCAGAAGGTGTGTGAGTGTGTGCATGTGTGTGACATCTCGCTGATACTTTAGCTTTGAACATAAAAGTAAAAGAAGAAACAAAGACTAATGTGAAAAAAGCAGCGTCAGAGGTCTAAATTATTATTGGCAGAACAGCCAGAGTGAAGCACACACCCTACTGCTTCCTAAACACAAACTCACCTGCTAGAATGTTTGAACTTTTGGCTTTTTTTAAAAAACATTTTTTTTAAGAATGCAGCAAACTACTCTTTTTTCCCCCGTAATAAACATATTTTCTTACATTCCTTATCCTCTCATATCAACTATAACTTGGCATCCTCTCTTTGATACACTTGTTGTTTTCCATTGTGTCTTTTCTTATTATTTTGTTTAAAACCCAAGCTCACTTTTCAGCTGCCAAGTAGAGCTGCAGAGTTGTGAATAGATGCTAACTTGGACTTATCAGTATTTTATTTAGATGGCAAAGTGTTAACTACAATACTGCATGTTCTCCTTTATGGTTAGGTGAATAAAGATACACATGTTTTTCATATAAAATACACAATTAGTTTCTGTCTCCTATGCGATGTGTTGCAACACATCCTCACTCCCAGGTCGGCCTATGTTGACGTTATGTCAAGTCCCCTGTCGGCTTTTTCCAACGTAAGGGGGGGGGCTTATCGTCCATTTTCAACGCAGGGGGGGGGCCCCTTAGCGTCCATTTTCAGCTTTCCGGGATGTCCATATGCTTCTATGGACGCTCATGGAAGCACGGCGTTCGTTTGTGTCGACTGCCCTTAAAGGCAATGTGAGCGTCCATTCTCATTGGATAACGGAGAATTGTACACCCGGAAGTAAGTATTCCCCTTACTGTCGATTGATTTTACAGTGATATCTGCACTACTCATCGACTAAAAAACACCAGATTATCCTTGTTAATTACACAACATTGATTGGTTTAAATTGTGTGCAATGCTTTTGTATCTTTCCCCTTCGATTCGGAGAAACAAATGTTTTTTCGGAGTAAAGGATGGCAGAAGACACTACACTACCCAGAATCCCCAGCTATCGTTTGGACTACACCATGTGCTCTGTTTGACAAACCCCGTGATAGTCCTCAAGCTCTGTGATTGGAGAGTGTGCTCCGAGGGTTACGCCGAGCCTCGAACAGCACTTGAAATGGGATGGAACCACGCAGACTGTCCAAAACTGGATTTGAACGGGTCCACCGCGTCCCCCCCTCCCCCACCCTGTCCCCAGAACTACAAATGCTGGCTATTCTGTTTCGCAACATGTTCTGTATCTATGGCACGTCTCTACTGGGAGTTGTAGTTTTAAAAGACGTTTTCGTATTTCCATAATAAGAAGTTGCCAGTATTAAACTGTGTACATCCCTGGAGGTTTAGGGGATAGGAAACACTCACATTTAAAACATATAATTAATAAATGGGTGAAAATTGCTTGTGCCCATAATGGGCAGCATTAATATATATACACACATGCCAGCTAAGGTCAGAAGAGCTTTATTTAACAGCTGGTCTTATGTTTGTGACCCCTGTTGTTAATTGATAACATTACATTAATTGATAAGCCTGAAACATGCACTTGTTAAGGTTCAGAGGCACATTTTGCAAATATGGCAGTATAGCCATCGATCAGCTTAAGATAATATATACTTTATTGATCTCAAGTTGGAACATTTGCGTTACATCAGCATGTGTAACAGTTACATATGCAGTGGTGTTTATTTGTAAATCATTTAGTATAATCACACAAATTCTGTGTTTTATCTTCAACAATTCTGTGTTCTTTATTTATTGATTGTTCAATACCTGACAAGGCTGGAGATGAAATATCTACATACATCTTATAAGAGTATAATACATTATGTATAATATCAGTTAAAATAAGTGCTTCAACATAGTTAACATTGCTGGAGGTACGCACAATATTGATAGATGTCTTGTAATGCACTATTGAGGAACCTGCGACCCAAGTTTTTCATTCAATGCATAACTACACCATAGTTGTGTAGGCCTATATGATATGTCAATAAACCTTAGAAAATCTTGAAATCTTGAAAGGGATGTGCAAAATAGTCATTATATACAG